CGCGGGAGGCGGGTCGCCAGCGGGGCGGGGTGTGTCCGGCCTCGCGGTCCCTCCGCCCCTGGGTCCCGTTGCCACACGCCGCTGAAACTCTGGACCAGGCGCGCTTTCCGCCCCGTCGTCCCTCGCCGTGACCGGAGTAGAGCGCACACCATGTCGGTCGTGGTCAGCAACAGGTTCCAAGGTAGGCGTCTACTGTCCTACTGTCCCTGCGCTGTCCCGCGCCCGAAGTCCCTGAGTCGTCACCTGTGCGCGAGGCGCGGCACGCGTGGTAACTCGGAGGGGTCGCGTGGCCCGGGAGGTCGCCTTGCTTCCCCGCCGCCTCTTTGTCTCCCGCAGGAGGGAAAGCGTTCGGCTTGCTCAAAGCCCGGCAGGAGAGGAGGCTGGCGGAGATCAACCGGGTAAGCCGGGCCACCGCGGGGCACAGCGTACGAGTTCCTTGTGCCCCACTGTGCCACCCCATCCCCCAGACAAAATCAGCCCCTCCTTTCCCCATCCCTGGCCTTCCCCCAAATGCATCTCTAGCCCCTGCCGTGTGGCCTCCGACTCCAGGTAAGTCCACTCCACCCCTTAGCTCTCTGCCTGGCGGTCTCCGGTTGCAAGTTGTAACTCTCTGACCAGGGAGGTGGGGCTGGTGAAGGAGTCCGGTGCAGGCGGGCAGGGGCTTCTCGGGAGCTCACTGCGGACCACCTAAGGATTTTGGCGCCAGAAGGGACCCCCTGGGCTAGTGCTGTCTCCGTGGACGAACCACAGAACTTAACATTGGGGTTTGACTGGCAAATGCTGGCATTTCCCTGTCGCCTCCCACCTCCAACCCCAACACACAGCTCTTTTTCACCAGCTTTTAGAAAAGTTGCCCGAGGGAGTGCTTTTTTTTTTTTTTTAACCGGTCCGGGGAAGTTCTAGAAAGAAATCCTTCCGCTGCTGCCAGACACACAATAGCAGCTCCGTACGTTTGTTACTGAGCGCGTAGATCCCAGAAGATAAAGAAAGGTGTCAGCGCCTCCTCCATTGGCAAAGCACCGGAGGTGGCACAGCCTGTGGCTTTATGGTTCTCAGGATCCGGGTTCAGACATGACCAGTGTCTTCAGTAAGGGCTTCTCATCTCCCGCAGGGTCACTTTGTGGGCTCAGTAAGGCAGGAGCTGGCATGTGCTGGGGTCTAGCTTTAGGGAGATATCTCTTTAGTGTATCAGAGATTTCTCTTTTTCTTTTTTGCTGTACTGAAGACTGAATCCAGGACCTTCTCCATGTTAGACAAGCACTCTACCATTGAGCTATTAATACACAGAGGTGGAAGAGGTAGCCCACTTACATAAGGCCTTTATCTGCCCCTTCAGTCTCTAGATACCCGGGAGACAAGCTCCGGGCCCCTGGCGGGGAGCTGGTTCAGCACACTGGAGGTCGGGGCTGTGATGCCATTGAAGTATTTCCTCCCGATTCCTTTCTCTATTCCCATGCACTGCCTAGACCTAGGTAGGCATCTCTCCTACCCACCAACTCCAGGAGCCCCTGGAGGGCTCTGGGCCCTCTTATACTGTTCCTCCGTTGCTTGCCTCTCGGTGCTTGTCTTAAAGCATGGCTCCAGGGACTATGTACATCTGGCTGGGCTTGGGGCGGGCCTGCTGGACTTCTGGAAGGTCCCTCAGCACCACCCAGCCTTGGCTGCTTTTGCTTTCTGGACGGGAAACCTGGGACCATGACCTCATACAACCTTCCCTCCTCCACCCCTCTGCCCCAACTTGGTTAGGCAGGTTCTAACCTAGCTGACTTCACCCATAGCCAACAAGACCCTAAACCAGAGTCTGCTGGAGATGGGCACTAGGTGCTTAGAGGAGTTAGAGGAGAAAGAGCTGAGACCTGGGGATAACCTGCGCTGACCCCACCCTTGAGGAGACAGGCTTGGAATGGGGAGGAACAGGACAGGTGACTCTAAAAGGGGAGGGCCCGTTGCTGCCAGGGGCTGAATTTTTGACCATACTGGCACTGCAGACAGTGGGCTAGTGGGAACTGTGATCTAGCCACTCAGGACTTCAGATACCCGGAGAGGGCAAGTATCTGAGCCATTCCATACAGGAGCCACTGCCACAGCTCGCGACCTAGGGTCTCTTTGCTGCAGGATGCCGTTTTGAGATCATCCACGCGAGCCTGGGCGCTATAGGGCTGTAGCGTACGTAATCCAGAGTGTGGGTCCTTAGAGGTTTTATGCTAGATGGTTGAGCTGCTCCCGTGTTACAGCGGGCCAAGGTGACTACAGAATAGGCAGAGCCAGGAGGCATGCTGCCAAGCATTGCCTCTGTGAGTTTCAGGAAACTGCTTCCCCTCTCCGAGCCTCCTGGGCCACAAGAGATAATAGTGGTGATTTTCCCCCAGCCAGATGTTGTTTGTGAAATGCACCGAGTTGGCTGCTGTGAGCATCATTATTGGTTTGTGTGACGTCTCCAGGTATAGGGAGTGGGCATGGAGGTATGTATGCTAGGGACATACCAGCTGCTCCCTCTTCCCTGTAGTGGGAACAATGGGCCCACCCCTTTTGGACCCCCGTAACAGTCAATGGAGAAGGATCAACTCAAGAAATTTGCTTGAGAGTCCCAGTCTGGTTGACCCTTGGCCGTGGCTGTAGTGAATGCAATATTCTAGAGAGCTGTGTTGGCAGCGAGATTGTCTTCCTTGGAGAACACTTTCACTGCCTTGCTAGAGTGGGGATTCTGGGGAGCTGTGCTGTGCTGTGCAGTGCCTGTTGGCCCCATATAAGCCGGAAACCACACAGGCACGGCTTCATGATTCATGACATGGGAGCTGTGTGACCAGCTGTTGTGCCCATGAGCATGGGCACCCCCAGCTGCTGTCTGGGGCAGAGCCCAGCTCTAGGGAGACTTTCTGGACCATTACTCCAGTTTCCCTTAGGGTTTCCCCCTTCCCTGGGGTGGCTGTTTGCATGCGGCAAAGGTTGCTCAGTCTTAGCAACTGTTATCATCAGTGAGTCAAAGTCTAACACTGATGGGGCTGGAGGACAGCGAGGGGCAGCGGAGGCAGGGATTGGCACATCATACAGAGTTCACTTTAGTTTCTTCTTCAAAAATTATTTCTGCTGGGTAGTGGTGGCACACACCTTTAATCCCAACACTTAGGAGGCAGAGGCGGGTGGGACACCTGGTCTACAGAGTGAGTTTCAGGACAGCCAGGGAATTCCTGTCTCAAATAAAAATAACAATAACCAAAAATATTTTTAAACTTCCATTAACTTACTGGTTAATGTAAGTGTGTGCAGCATACACGCCACAGGCTGAGTGTATGTGTAAGTGTGTGCAGCGTACACG